AGGAACACACACCAGCAGAATCCGCCTTTTCAATAAAAAACGACAACTGGGAAACAGAGTGAATTAAAAAGCATTAACTTAAAAACAATCCATGTGTCTGCAAATGCTTTCCAAATGGCAGCCCTTCGGCAGGGTGGGAGGGGGCGGGGGCGCGTCGGCCACATGTTCTGGAGCCTCAGACAAAGTGTGGGGGCTCAGTGCTTCGCTATGGACCCCTCCCGCTAGCCACCTGGGATGGCAGGGTCTGGGCAGGGGACTTAGTCTATACCCTCACCCTTGTGGACCTCTACCTAGTTCCCTGGCCCCTTTCTACTGTTCTGGCATCTGCTGGGTTCCTCTTACTCCCCCAGTGCCTCCAAACCTTCCTATGCTGACCCCAACTCCCCTTTTGCACCAGCCCTCCCCACCTCCACGTGTAGATTTCAACACCCCACCCTGAAGTCTTCTACCCCATACTTCCTCCAGCCTTGCCCTGCCCTGCCCCACCTCCATTCTGCCCTCCTGCCCCTAGACCACCCAGCAGCCCTGGCTGAGGGAGAAATGGTTAGAACAAAGCTTTCCTTGGCCTGAAGAGACTCTCCAGGGAGCTGCATGCAGAAGGGGGGCTGGCAGTCCAGCCTGGTACCTGCAACTGCTCTGTCCTGCCAGATGCCAATCAGAAAGTGTCTGAAAGGCCTCTCCCAGGGAGCAGAAGTAGGCTGCTGTCCTGTGAGCCCCTCACCAAGAGGAAACTCCCCTCCCCCCAAAGTTCATCCTGCTGCCTTCCTTACCACGTTCAGCAGCCCTCTTTTGCCCCTTTCCCTGGAAGTGGAAGGATTGGAGAACATCAGGTCACAATTAGAGAAGATGGGACTGAGCTCGTGCCCAGATTGCTACTGCCCCTCGGTGTCTTCTCAATTGGGTAGGAAATCCTGAGTCCATAAGCCAGCTGGGAGGGAGATCTGGATGCTTAGCCTTCTCTGCTAATGATAATGAATTATGATTAGAAGAGCAATAGTAACAATAATCATAGCAGCTAACACTCACTGAGCTCCTATGTGTGCTCTCCATAGCTATATGACTCTGGGCAATAGCTTGCCCTGCCTGGGCCTCAGTTTCCCTATCTGCAGCAGGAAGGGGTGGGACCCTCCAGTTTAGACAGGGAGTGTGAAATATCTTTGTTTGAATGAAAATCTGGACAAGCTGATTTGCTATCACTGTTTCTCTCTGCTAGTGAAGACATAAAGAGGCCAACCAGTAAAAAGTTAGTTCCGAGTTATTCTGTGTTCCTGAAACAACAAAACAAGCCACCACTTTACAAAGTCCTAATGGTTCTCACCCAATCAAATTGCTCTTCCTCCTAATAGCCAGCAGTGAGCCATTTAATTCTATTTTTAATGATAAAAGTGTTTGTGTTCATTATATGAAGGGAGGCTTTCAAAATTCACCTGGCTACCACAGAGCCCAAAATGAGTACTTATACAAAGCTCCCTGGGGATTCTGACGGGAGAATTCTGATTTGCATATGATGTCTGATATCTCCTCATATGATCCATAGCTGGCATTCATATCTGATTCTGATCTCAGGTTCTGATTGAGAATCACAGAGGTTGTGTTCTGAGAATGTCTGTTTCTATAGATTTCTTTAAGCAGCTTCTCTGTCTCCGAGTGTACTCTCACACACCGGTTCCAGGGAGCCTGCGAAGGTGTATCTACTTGAATGCATAGAAATCTAGGTACGTGTCTGTGCATGCACATATGCAGGTACGCATTTCCTTTTGTATGTGAGGGGGGACGTAGGTCTCAGGCTATTTCTGGATATTTGTGTGAGTGGATGTGCTGGTTGAGGGCCTGTACCTCTCTGTGCATGTGTGTGTCTCCACAGGTAGGTGCCTATGCCTCTGGGCAAGTTTGTGTGGCTGTGCCTTTGTGTCACGTTTATCTAAGTGGGGAGATATTTGTGCCTGTATGTGGACATGTCCTGTGTACCTGCATTGATGAGCCTGTCGTTTTCTGAGGCCTCCAACAGAGCAGGAGTTTCTATGGAGAAGGAGCCCCATCCAGGCCCCTGAAATGCCAGTCGAGTGGTCTCCTGGCTCCAGAGCTAGCAGTGAGAACTCCCCTCCTGGTTGGGGAAGGAGGACAGTTTTTTAGCATAAACACAGATCTCTGTGCTGAGCATTCTAATTCTGCAAGTCAAGTAGATAGCCCGGGCAGCTGCCTGCTAATTAGCCACCCTGGGGACAAAATTGCCTGTGTTGGAGTGGATAATGTGTTTGCCTGTTTCTGTGGGATCCTTGACCAACTGAGTGCCCCCCACCTCTCTCCTACCTTTCTCCCCTGGGCCTATCTCCCTGCACCCTCAGCTCAGAAAGATGGTACAGCATTTGCATGCCTTGGTTCTAATACATCAGCTTTTCAAACAGGCCAACTGCTAAGCAAATGTCATTTGGGCTGAAGCTTGTGAGGCTCTAAATGAGGTAAATGATCCATTTGAATAGATGAAGATGGGTCCCATGCTGGATGAAGGTGAGCTCATCAGGTTCCCCACAATGTCAGGGGCAGGCTCCATGTCCCCTCCCTAGGCAAACCCCAGGGACTGGGGTTCTTCCACAGCACAGGGATCTTGGGCTTGATGGATCCCCAGTCCCAGAGAGCCTCTGAGGCCCCCTGCCCAGGTGCCTTCAGCAGCGCTATGGGCTGGTGGGAGCAGGAGCCCAGCCAGGTTGGGCTGAGAGGCAGTTGCCCACTGTGGTCCCAGTCATGCCCTTCCCATGCTTGTATACACACATGTGTGCACATGCTACACATTATATACTTACACTTGCAGCCTGAGCCCATGACTTGAACCTGTGCTGGGCTCTCAGGTACAGAAAGGTCTAGACACAGAGGCACACACAGAAGTATGTAGACCTCCTACCATCTTTGTTCTGTTTTGGCTTATAGACATTAACACAACACATGGGTTCATAAGCAGACGCAGATATGAACTATACAAATATCACATACAGATTTTGTTATGGATGGAATGTTTGTATCCCCCCAAAATTCAGATGTTAAAACCCTATTCCTCAATGTGATAGTATTAGGAGTTGGGGACGTTGGGAGGTAATTAAGTAAGATGAGGCCCAGGCAGACTAATACAGATATGAACTAGGAATTATATTTGCACACATTTGCAAATAGCAATTTACAAATCAATAAAAATTATTGACACACACCTAAAGAGAAAGATTAGTATGTGTGTCACTCCTGCCATTACTGCTGGTTATCATTTATAAATTTCTGGGCTAAGTGTTTCAGACTTTACCTTACTTTATTCTCAAGGCAGCCCCAAGAGGGAGACATTTATTAGCTCCATTTTATCAGAGACGCTACATCTTGAATGAGGTGCTCAGGGTTGGTTGCAGAATTGCTACGTGGTAGAGTCAGGATTTGAACCCAGGCCTCCTAACTCCCATGTGCATGCTCTGTAGGGAAGATGAGTGATCTAGCACTTGGAGCTGGGGAAGGGGAACCTCACCAAGGTCAAAAAAGAACAATCCTGCGATGCCCATAAGGCCCAAGCCTCCATTCCCTAGGGCCACCTGACTCATTCAGCCTCACACCTTATAACTCAATTACCGTAATTGGGGACAGCTGTCTCCCAGAGCATGGCCAGAGTGCTTGTCTTCCCAGGCTCCAGATCCACCGGCATCCCTGAAACCTGTTAAAGAAGCGCCTTGTGATTTTTGTTCAAAATAATGACCATGATGAGAGTAATGAAATAAACTGATTTTAATATATGCCTAACTTAACTGACAGGCTCAGCTCCAGTACTAGCATTTTCTGACAATACAAGATTATTTTATTCTCAGTACAAAGTCACTTGTCAGATTAATACAGCTGCAAGTTTTTAATCATGACATTATTTAATGGTGCATTTGGACTCAGTCTCTAACTGTAGCCGCCACACCCACAGGCAGATTCTTTCATTTAGTTTAACAGGGCCTGGGGCATGTTCTGGTGGCACCTCTCCTGGGCTCCACATCCATCCCTCCTGGAGCCCCCCATGCCTTTCTAGAGCTGTCCTGAGGATATTCGGGAGTGTCCACCCACCCTGGGCTGAAGCAGCCTCACAGACACATCATACTCCAGCCTTGGCCCAGCACCCTGACTGGCTCCCCCAGAAGAAAAACGAAGGTCCTCCTGACAGGCAAGCATAAATATTTTCTTTCCCGGCCCAGTTCAGATGGGGATATTTGCTGTTAATAAAGTGGCAGCTGGCTATCTGGGAGTGTCTGAACGTGGCCTCCCCTGGCAGGGATCGCATCATCCATCTCTGTCCTCACCCCATCAGATGACAAGACTGCGCGGGCCTGCTTCTTTTTTGAGTGTGCCTCAGATGGCAGAAAGCAAGCGGGAAGCGGTGGGGTCACAGCAGTTTCATCTTCTGTCTGTCGAGGGGCTGGGAGGGGCAGCGTCCGTCTGCTGTTCTTGGCGAGCACGCCTATCAGGAGTGTGGTCATCAGGTGCCCAGAGAGGCTGCTTATTTAAGCCCCACATCAGGCGCTCAGCCTTTATTTACGGAGACGGGCGGGGGAGTGTTGGAGCGAGCCAGCTCTTCCCGCTCTGAAAGGTGCTCACACCAGAAAGGGCAACACGCCGTAATGGGAAATTGTGCTTTTCTTTGCAGCATGTGGCCTGGAAATGGAGCTGCGAGGCCCGGAAAGGTTTTGAAATAACATTTTGGGATGGAGCCTTCCCTACCCCCACCTGGAAATAGGTGTTGGGATGGAAAACAGGGCACCTCTCCTCGCCACTCGTCACCAGCCAGGGCTGTTTGAAATGAAAACAAAAAATCCTTCCTTAAAAGAAAATGTGTTTCGCAAAGCACTATGAATTCGCTTCTTGACTTCCAAGTCCACAAAATGCTGTGTGGAGACTCCATTCACAGCTCAGAGCTGTGGAGGCTGCTCTGGGAACCGGGGAGGGGTTGCAGCCAGGGTTAAATATCAACAGCCTCCAGGCTGCTGGGGTTGCTCTCTGGCAGGTCTTGCATTCGATCAACAAACACTTGATGAGTGCTAGGCCTCTGGGTAATAAAAAGATACAAAGATTTCAGGTCACCTAGGGCTGGTTCAAAGTTCTGGGAAAGTTATTCAACCTTTCTGGGTTTTGGTTCCCCACAAGTAAAATGGAGCCGATAATACAGATTTCAAAGGATTGTTATAAGAATTCCACGGAAGCCTGCATATGAAAGTGCCCACCGTAGCAGCTGACTCCTACTCAGTGCTTGCAAATGTGTTGAATGCTGTTGACGGAGCTCACAGAGATTTCCTACAGCCTGCAGAATGGGCAGAGCTCCTCGGTTTCACAGTCAATACTCTCTGGGATCTGATCCAACAGTTCTGTCACCCAGTGGTCAGGATTCTCCTGCTGAAATCAGGGTGGCAGCAAGCCTGAGGGCAACTTTTGAGAAATGTCCTGAAGGAAGGGAGAGGGCCAGCCCTGCAGAGGTCTGGGGGGGGGAGGGGGGTGCACCAGGCAGAGGGAACAAAGTGCAGGGTGCCCATGGGCCAGGGACCCGGAGGAGGCGAGGAGGCCTGGAGGCTGGAGGAGGCCCCAATGGGAAGAGAACTAGGAGAGGAGCTCAGAGGTGAAAAGCGGGCTGGATTATAACCGGCCTTGCCTGTCCCAGCAAATACTCATTAGAGCACCTGGAAGTCAGGGGCGCTGGTGGGGTGCCTTGGGTGGGCCCCCTCCTGCTCTGAGCCTACTTCCTCACAGTGAAGGGTACTCAGGTGTTGGGTGTGATTGTGAGAGCTTTGAGGTTCATTCTATGCGCTGAGCAAAAATCAGCCCCTGCAGGCCCTGAGATTCTACACGTTAAAGACTTCAACCCTTTCTTAGGCTGGCTTTCAGTTCTGGAGGTACTGAGATAGCGGCAGTGGTGCTGATGGGGGGATACAGGGGGCCTGGCTCCCTGGCCTCAGGAGCCTCTTCTGCCCAGCCTGCCCCATGTCCCCAGGGAAGCAGAAGAGGGGCTGGCTTGGGGCAAGTCTGGCTCCTAGGCCATGTGTCCGTAAACACCGGGTCAGGTGGCACCGATTCTTTCCCTGGTCACTGATTGACCTTCATCCGCCATTCCTTCCTGCCTTCCTTTATTCTCCCTCACTTTCACTTACATGTCTACTCCTTCCCTCATTCGGCCTGCTTATTGCTGTCTTCACTCATTCCTCACTTACTCACTTCTTTACTGACTCACTTTCCTCCCTCGTAGCATTTATCACGAGAGTAACTAAATAGGTAACGGATCGTTCGGCGCTGTGTGAGCCTGACTTCCCAGCTCCGACTTAAGGGCCTGAGGACAGAAACCACGTCTTGTTCACAGCCGTAACGCCAGCGCCTGGCCCGCGGCTGGCCCAGAGTAATAACTTCTGTATCCATTCATTCACCGCACACTCATTCATTCCTTCAGGGGGTTGTCAAACCTCTGCGTGTGCTGAAATCTGGGCTTGGCACATTTTAGAACAGGGATTGAAAAAAGGAAAAATACAGAGATACGTTATCTGAGCCTGTGCCACCCACCCGATCCCATTCATCTGTTCATTTATTCATTCTTCAGTGAACACTCACTCGTGTCACTCAGGACCAAAACCTGCGCTGGAAATTCCTTCACTCAGATACTCAAGGGTGTGAGAGAGAAGGCCTCGGGGGCCCCTTCAAAGTCTGGGCCGTTGGGCCGTTGATGTGATCAGACCTGAGCTCAGAATGTGAAGGTGGAGAGTGAGAGAGCAGGAAGCCCCGGGCCTCCCACGGGCGGGGCAGGCCCAGCCTGGGGGGGGGCAGCGGGCGCTGAAGCCACCCTTGACCGACCCACCCTCACTACCCCCTCCCTTCCTCCTCTCCGGCCTGGAGTCTCCCCCACTTCCACATCTTATTGACTTTCAGATTTACAAGGTGTGCTGACTGCCAAGGCCCCGGGACAATTACACACCTGGACCCACCTTAGGAAAGCATCCTCTTATCCCAGGCCCACCCGGCACAGGATAGACCTCGCAGGTGCTGTGAAAAATTTAAAGAGGAAAATAATGGAAAAGAATCTAAGGCAATGGGGAAGATTCATGGTCAACCTCATGATCAACTCATGAAACCCTAGCCTCTTCACTCGAGGTCTCGCTCCGACCACTGGGGCTCAGGCCAGGGTCAGGAGCTTTATGGTATTTGCTTGGTTTATTGGCTCCACAGAAGAGGTGTGAGGGCCCAAGCAGTTCTCTGGAGATAGGACCCCCCCAAGGAAAAGCCAAGATTTATGGTTTCCGGAAACCCTCAAGGTCAGTGGGCTGGGCAGAGCCGGCTTTCCTCAGCCCCCAGTTTAAGAGAAGAAGGGCCTGGAGGTAAGGAAACCCCAAAACTGTGGTGGGAACCATTCCCCCAAATGTTTCCTCTTCCGTCACCTCCCATGACTCTCGGTAACAGCCCCATGATGCTGGCATTTCCTTCTTCACTGCGCCAGTGGGAACTGAGGCGAGGACAGCCGGTGGCCACCCCACATCAAACGGAATCAGTGTCAGAGGGGAACTCAAACCCGGCTCCCTGCCGGGGGCGCTCCCTCTTTGAGCCGCTGCTACTAGAGTGACCTTTGAGGGCCAGTCATGAAATACCTGAGTCACTCTGGCTGGAAGAAAAACAATATTGCTAGGGCTCGGGCCTCAGGTCACCTCTGTGTCATCCTATGCAGGTTTGAGGCAATAGTCTCTGGGACAATGGCCACCCAGCAGAGCTCAATGAGATGACTCAGGAGTCCCCCTACACCAGCAAGTGACCACACAAAGGCTGCTTGACCTTCTAGACGACGCCCACCCCCACCGCTCCCGGGGATGCTGGCCGAGGCCAAGTGGCTCTGGACACAAATGCTTCGTTGACAACCCTACTCCACAGGCACAAGGGGCTGGTTCCTGCCATTGCCTTACAGTGTTCCGTGGCCCCTGCGAGCAGGGTAAATTTTATTTCTGGGCTTAATTAGGGGACATGCCATAAATATTCATGCAGCAAAATGAGCCCTGGCTCACAAGTGCAGCTGCTTCCCGCTTGGGGGAAATTAACATTGTTTTTCAGCGGCTGAGTAATGAGGCTCTGCTGCTGGAGAGAGGAGCCTTTTCAACAGCCTCTCTAGGACAGAAAGAGAGAGCCACACTCAGAGCCACCCACACCCCAGGAAGCCGCCCCGGCCATCCCAGGCCCCTCTGCCTCTCCAAAGGGGGGCACAGTCTGGCCTCCTTAAGGCTTAGCTCTGAAGGGAGCCCCAGCAGGTGCTCAGCAGAACAGAAGATGCCTGAGCTGTTGCTTGGTCAACAGCCTTCACTACAACCTCGGGCCAAATCCGCCTGCCACCTGTTTTTGTGAATAAAGTTTTATTGGCACACAGCCATGCCCATTCATTTAGCTATTGGCTATAACAGCAGAGTTGGGTCATTGTGACAGAGACCTTATGGCCTGCAAAGCCTAAACTATTTCCTATCTGGCCCTTCACAGAAAAAGTTTACCAACTCCTGTTCTAGACCCTTCTCATCCTTAATAAAAGTTCCATAAAATTAAATTTTCTGGATTCTTAGGAACATGGAGCAGTTTGGGAATCTTGTGGTCTTAGAATGTTATGTGCGCAGAGTCTAATCTCAGCTCAGCCCCTTCGTCAGCTGCGTGACTGTGGGTAGGTCATGTAAC